TCTTCTATCTCTTATAGGGAAAAAAATCCCTTGTCAAACGGGGAATAGTGTGCAAATCTAAAAGAGAGGGGCGGATTGAGAACAATCAACTTAAAAGATTTCAATCAAGCTCTATTATCTATTAGAAATTGAGGTTAAATCTGGAATTAAACAGTGAAGGATGACTTTTTCAGTTAACTGTTGTGTGTTTGTAAAATGCTGTGCTTAAAGCAATATTTAGCCTACTCCGGTGCAAGGATCCCAAGGCCAAACTGCTTCCAGGAATAGCAGTACAGTACTCTGGTGTGCATTAACTCAGTACTGTCAAGATCTTCTCGATCTATAAGACCTTTCGGTCAAGGCAAAAGATCTCATCGATCTCAGAACCTTTCGGTTCAAAACCTTTCGGTTTTAGGGTTCCTGCGGGCATAGTTTCTGCAGCAACAGCACAACAACAGCAACAACAACGTCGATCCGACGTTCGTTTTCCAAGCGCGCGTGTGGATACCGACGTTCGTATTCCACGCTCGCGAGAGAGTTTCCAGCCGCAACCAAGAGCTGTCCAAGGGTGCTATTTATAGGCCTCTAAGGCCAGCTCAAGAGTCACTAGCAATTAATGTGATTGTTACAATTTTTAATGGTAATTAAGATTATAACATTAATGCATTAAATTGCTCTAATTGCTATTGTAACTGCTGCATGCATTAACTCTAGAATATGAGGTAATCAATGGACGCGTTGCTATGAAACACGAGGATCACGTCTCATCAAATCAGACGAACCTCGTTTGATAAATGAACGTCGTCAAACAGGCGAACCTCGTATGACAGACGAACCTCATCAAACAAGCGAACCTCGTATGACAGACGAACCTCGTCGAACAAACAAACATCGTCAAATAGGTGAACCTCGTCGAACGAGCGAACCTCGTCAAACTACAAGAACGCTAGGGTCACCCTCGTGCGAATACATAGCTCGTCCGCATGCTGCGAGGCAACCTCCGTGGCGGCCATAGTGCTCGATGCCTCCGTGCGAAGTGCACCTAATAAAGCGCCACTTAGCGCCTCAGCTCGATTAGCCCTGATCCACGGCCCCCGATCCACGGCACGATCCACGGCCCACGACCCACGAGAACTTATGAGGGATTAATTCAAATAAAACACTTCTCGGCTTGCCGTTGGCAAGCCTCGAACAAGAAACCTTTTGAAACACCAAAACATAAACTTTCCACTAGGCTACTAAGCATTTATAAAAAGTACTTGTAGTTAATATATATATAGTTTGAAAACTCATTTTGGAAAGCAGTTTTGACCAAAAAAATCCAACATTATCTAAGTGGGTGTGGGCGTTTTTGTACCGACGACAATCTCTGGTTGGTAAAGGTATTAATTCTTTGTCTTCCAAAGATTATCCTATATTTAGATGCATACCACCTCCTGCATATGCATCTAAGTGTTGGCATGATACAACCTTTGCTAGTCAAGCCTTGGTGGGTCTTAGTCAGTGGTATTTGGGGGAGGGCACGAACATTCGTTTCTAGGAGGATAAAGTCTCGAGGCCTTCTATTAGTGATCAGTGGAGGTGGCATCCTCTCATACGTAGGCGCTCTTTAGATTCACATCAATCTCTTCCTTGATAATTTGTCCATTTCACCCAGTTCTCAAGTGGACAAAGCTTGGTGGCCTTTTAACAATTCAGGTGTTTACTTAGTGAAGTATACGTATGGAGTCATCAATAGCGGTGGTATCTCCTATGGGCGCTACAATTTCATATGGGAATCTCTCTTACCTATTGAAGTCAAAGTATTCATTAATTTGGGTTTTATCTCATAGAAAGCTGCTCGCAGATTAAGCTCATTTTTTGTTATCAAAAGGTTGGTGGGGGAGACCTTTTCTGCTCTTTTCTGTCGTATTTACGTTGAAAGTCATGAACACCTTTTTTATGATTATCCATGCATACACCATGGAGGCCGTGTAATTTTATTTTTCCAAACTTTTTATAATGCTTAGTGGCTTGCTAACTTTTGCTAACTTCTCTGTTATGCTTGAATTTTATGGCGATTTCATCTCTAACACTAATCTGAGGGTACTTTGGTCAGTTACCTTCTCTTCTTTTTGCTAGCGCTTATGGAGGGTCAGAAACATTAATTTAATATTTGAGGAGAAATCTACAACACTACCACGCCGTTTAATTAGCTTTTTTTTTATTGCTTACTAAGTGATGTTATGGGCAGAAAACTCATCAAAGAAAGCATGCTGCAAACATCAAGGATCTGGCTAGATAAAAGGGAGTTACAGCTTTGATTCAAGAAGAAGTTGATGATGCTGCAATAGTGGGGGAAATTTTCTGATGATCACCCCAACTTTGCTCCTTTTATTAAACTCTGTGAAACTCCTTTTTTTCTTTGTTTTGTTTTTATCAGGGTTGTCTCGTTTTTGTCTTTTGCTATGTATAGGGGTTATGTTATACAAAACTTTGTAATTGTTATCGTATTATGTTAAGGGTGTATGAGGTAGTATAAAGGTTTTCATCAACCTTCTATGATACTAGTAATAGGTGACGACAAGGTGCGCTTCTTATTCATAAATATGAACTGTTTGATGTTTACCATTTTATACTCTCTCTATTCCCTGATCACACTATGTCTTTTATCTTTAATGGAATAAAGAGAGCACCTCGCCCTGTTTTTATCGTAAAAAATAATAATCATAAGTATCTTGTCCCCATTTTACTTAGAATAAAATCTAAACTATATATAGCCTTTTTACTAATTTAAAAGAAAGTGTTTCAAAAGGCATGATCGATTATAGAAGTCCCCTAGATAGTGCACTTTGCCCTAATGCCATGTATTCCATATACCCATGAAACTACCTAGGGTATTACTATTTCTCATGGCTAAGTAATGTAGTGGGCCAACAATGTGAATACCATGTGCCCCTTGGTCGTGTATATATGTTTGTGTATGAGAGAGAGAGAGACCCTTGGTCGTGTATACATGTTTGTATATGAGAGAGAGAGAGAGAGAGAGAGAGAGAGAGAGAGAGAGAGAGAGAGAGAGAGAGAGAGAGAGAG